ACTCAGAATCATTGCAGTTGTTGTTTATAAAAGAAAAAAAATATATGTTTGGCTTTAATAAATAACACTTTCACCAGAAGTTACACTTTTTGTTTAATTACGTTTCCAAAATAACTGTTGATCAACAAAGTCCATGCTCAATAATTCAGGTATACAATCCAACAATTTTCAGTCAGATCATCTGGACAGTTTTTTTTTTTTTTTGGTGCTGAAACGTTTCACCGTCCATCCAGAAGGCTTCATCAGTCAATGAAACACACAACACAAAACTGATTTTTCCCCCAACAGCTTACTCCAAAGTAGCACCAACATAACTGGTTTGTTCCACTTTGGAGTAAGCTGTTGGGGAAGAATCAGTTTTGTGTTGTGTGTTTCATTGACTGATGAAGTCAGAGTCAGAGATTCTTTGTCATTCCACCACATGTGGTGGAGCGAAATTATGTACACATGGTCCCAGTTACATCCAACAATAAAATGTATAAGAAAAACAGTAATAAGATCTAAGATATGAACTAAGAAAAACATCAACTAAATATACACTAAGCACTAGTAGCATAAAAACATTATGTCGAACATCAGCACAAACATGAACATGAGTCTGTGTAAGCAGATGAGCACGTATGAACACCTCATCATGAAACAGATCAGCAGCAATGTTGAAACAGATCAGCAGCAGCATGATGTGATTTTTTTCACAGTGATTATTCTGGTTAGAGTTTCATGAGTCTAACAGCCTCAGGGTAGAAGCTTTGAAGCCTTCTGTATGGAAGGTGAAATGTTTCAGCACAAAAAAAGAAACTGTCCAGATGACCTGACTGAAAATTGTTGAACTGTTGATCATGTTACTTTGCCATCATCTAGCAATGAAAATGTTCTAAGATGACTTATAGTGATTTGCTGGCATTAAGAAAAAATACTGAGCAGCCACATTTTTTTGTTTGTTTTGCTGGACATTTATAGACAGACGTGGCCTCAGTTGGACACTAGGTGTCAGTCAGAGTCTAGTAAAGTCTCCTGCAGCAGCTCAGGGAGACACGACTGATCCCAGGACAAAACCACTCAGGGGAAAGCTACACTTCCTGCTCTGCAGTCAGTTTGGGCTTTGTCTGCATGACGGCTCACATTCACTAATAAAGCCCAGTTTGCTGACTGAAAGGGGCTCACAGAAAACCAGTGTGTCAGATACTCGGATCGGCCAGGTTCTCCTGGACTTGTGAAACTTTTTATTTGATTTCAAAGACTGAAACAAAAAAAAATCCAAACATTTTACCAAATTACTACACCTTTTATTTAGCTGCACGTGTTTTGCTGCTTATCTCATTTATTGTGTGCATGTGCCAGATGTATTTCTACTACTTCATCAGTTTGTGCACACATAACCAGCAGCAACATCAGATTCTTCTACATTTAGCAAACTTTCTATTTTATTTTGAACAAATGGCACAGACCCACTCTGTGTTCTGTGAAAGACAAACCATGTGAGTTATCAGCTCTCCAAACAAGGCTTCCCCTTCTTTCTCATACACGTTCGTGTGACGTTACACTAAACTCTGCTGAGATTAAATTTACTGAATTGCCCAGAGCATTGTGACATTTTGTTAACACATCCTAAAAAAATAATGGAAATGGGGAGTAAAAATTAGCTCGGCTGGCTAAATCAGGCCATCCTGGTATTAATCAGTGGTCAGGGACACAGAAAGGAGAGGGGAAAAAAATTGAATTAATCTTTTCTCTTGTCTTCCTCTTTTTTGCACCTCTAGGATATTATGAACAGTGAGAAGAGTTATGACTCCTTGCCAAACTTCACTGCTGCTGACTGTGAGTTTCTTTTTTCTTTTTATTTACTCCTGCATTGTTGAGATTTTCTTACTCTTTTTGTTTTGTTTCGTTGCTCTTCTGTCCAGTGCCACAACAGGATAAAGGTTTTATGCAAAGTTTTAGTACTTATTCTTTAAACCCTTAGAGTTAAATTAAGTTGAGCTGTCTAAAATGAAATCCATGGGAAAGAAAGTGAAAGTGCAATGCTGCTATTATCTTTGAATTGTTTGTTCAAACAGTAACTTCCTGCTGAAATACTCTTAATATTTTTACACAAGTTGTTGGATTCTCTAGTGTGCGGTGACCTTTTTAAATGTTCTCTGATCACATGAAAAGTGTGGCAGTAAACACAGATAGGAAAAGCACATTTATTTGTTCTAGCATAAACAAACGTGTGTCGGAATAGTGTAAAGGTCACATGCAAACTTTAGTGTTACCTGTGCACACGCTTCACCTTTCATCCTTGACTTCCTGTTACATTTGTCAACTTGCGCCTCACCTCCATTAAACAATAATGTTGAGGTTTGAATGGTTTTTCAGTCTAAAACCGACAAAAAAAAACCCTACGTTTTTCATTTTCTATCTGATTATGATTACAATAAAGTGAATGTTTTTTTAATAAAGTTTAAACTGTTTGAACCACTGTGCCAATATATGAAACAATTTGTGAGATGTGAGATAAACCTGTTGTGACTAGGCCTGTTGCAATAAACAATGAATCAATTAATCACATGATAAATGAAAATTATCAATCTCATTTTAATTTATCGGCTTTATTGTTTCTTCGTGTGTCTCTCTTTTTACTGAAGACACTGGATGACAAAAAGCTTAACTCCGGTGCTCTTCACTGACCCCCCCCTTTCTCTTTAAAATCTGTTTTAACCAGTGTTTCCCTTACCATTATACAAGTGGGGTGCCCCACCCCGTCAACAGAACTGAGCACCCCGCCTACCAAACTGAACTTGCCCACCAACCCGGCACTGACATAGCACTAAGCTAGCGGCGCAACATATAGGCTCTCTATCTAAAAAGCTAAAGGCAGCACTTACGTTGCCTCTTCTCTCAAGCTGAACCCCCCCCCCCCCACACACACACACACAAGCACGCACAAAAACTGTCTGTATAAACAGCGCACAACACAAACATGTCGCGCTAAGCTAGCAGCGCACAATACAGGTGCTCTAGCTAAAAAGCTAAAGGCGCCTCTTCCCTCATGCTGAAACCCCCCCCCCCCCCCCCTCAAAAACTGTTGGTACAAGCTGCGCTCAGACATGTCTCCATCCTCCCAGTCAACAAAAATCATGGATGAGATGAGCACCCCGCCATGGCAAGTTAACTAGGGGAAACACCACTGGTTTTAGCCGTCCAAAATCGTGTTTTTGGATCGTTCAAAGCAGCTAAGCTATGAGCTAAGCTAACAGGTCGACCTTGGGGAAAAAAATCTCTTGTCGAAGCTCCAAAATTCATGGTTGAAACCAATGTCTTTATGTAAAAAGTTGTTTTTCTCTGCAAAAAGAAGCTGAGAACTTGTTTGCTGATATTTTATTAAAAGCTTTGTGTGAAAAATGCTATGCTAAAGAGCTCAAACCACACCGAGCAGCCGCCATTTTGAGAACTGAAGAGAGACAGCCCATGTCACATCAAGGGGCCTCCCTCCCATTTTCTTAAAGAGACACGCTGCTCGCTCTCTCACTATCCATCCTTCAATTCAAACAGGCTTATACTGCCATCCGGTGGTTGAAAAACGCTATTACACTCGAAACAAATTAATTACTAATTATTGTCAAATTTCAAACAATATTATTGTTTATCACAATAATTTCTGAGACAATTAATCGCCCAGCAAAATTTGTTATCGTGACAGGCCTAGTTGTGACAAATCCAATTTGGCACTCAGCTTTATTTTGTTGAGTCCATGAGCAGTTGAAGTACTCTTTGACTCTCTGTTGCTAAGTGAACTGGGCTCTGGCATCGCCTGGTGAGCGGCTGAGTCCTTGCCGTTCAGAACCTTCATGCAGCAAAGACAGAAGGCAGCCAGCGGGCTGTCGTCGCCACACTGAGGGACTTCCATCCCCACTAGTCTCCTTCGAGGAGATTTGGATGCGTTTCGTGCTGCAGTGGGTGGAAGGAGAAGGAAAGCGAGTGTGCATCAGAGTTTCATGTGGGTGGATGTTTGTGTGGTGTGTCTTGGCGGAACATGCGTGATGCTTTAGGAGGAGATGAATTGCAAAAGTGCCTCACTTGTTCCTGTTGGCAGTCACCCCAATACATTTCATCTGCTCATAAGAGCTGCTGCACTTGCTAAAGGTGGCAAAAACGTAGAATTTACATCAGGAATAGTGTTAAACTTTTGCTTTTTGGCCAAGATTTTTATCGGGTTAATAAAATGTAATACCAGTAAATGCAGAAAATTATTTCCTTCAAAGATAAATTAGCAGCATTTTTTGGTCAGCAACAGTTTTAGGACCACAAGCTTTACATTTGAACGTCATTGTTGTGGGTACCTGTCCAGAGTGTACCCCGCGTCTCGCACAATGACCGCTGGAGATAGGCACCAACTCCCCGGTGACCTGGCAAGGACAAAAAGGGGGAAATGAAAAAAAGATGGATATATGTGTTTTTGTGAGAGGGGGTAAGCTAACACAAGTGTTGGCTCGATGTACATGGAGCATCCATAATTTATGTTAACAGTATTAGTAACTGGGATGCCTTCTGTCGCTCCTCAGCTCAAAAATAAAAAAAGACACTTTAAAACTGGTCAAAAATGGGCCATTGCTGTAAACGTACTCATGAGTCACATCCAAAACTCCTTAAAAATCTAAACCTGTTGGGAACTAATTTACTCAGAAACACTAGACGTGTAAACAGCGTGAGTATCTTTTTGTTCAAGTTTCTTTATTGCCATTCGCATCACATGTGGCACATGAGGTGGAACAAAATTGAGTACTCAAGATTCCAGTTACAGCCCAAAATAGCAAAAATATAAAGTATAAAAAGAAACGGTAAGGATATAAGATAAATGCTAAACACTAACAATGCAAAACAACACGGTATATTAAACAGCAGCCTGAACATGAGTCTGTAGTGAGCAGATGGGTATGAATACAGCAGCATGAGATCAGCAGCACAGCTAAGTCGCATATCACCAATTAAAGTGGCATTACAGTAATTACATTACAGGTATTACAGATTCAATCTATTAAAATAAATAAATAAAAGAAGTATTCTGATAAAGAATAGTGGCCGCGCTTTTCAGCAACAGCAGCGTGCACTCCGTCCATCTTTTGGACGACTGTACAAACATAATTCACTGTATTCCAGTTCAATGATAACAAAGCTTATTCTGATTCTGATATATATAGTGGCCCGCTGGCTCAGTTGGTAGAGCTGTTGCCTCTCAGCGAGAGGGTCGCCGGTTCCAATCCTGGCCCGGAACCTTTCTGGGTGGAGTTTGCATGTTCTCTTCGTGCATGCATAGGTTTTCTCCAGCAGACCAAAAACATGCATGTTAGGCTGATTGGTAACTGTAAATTGTCCCTAGGTGTGAGTGAGAGGGTGAATGGTTGTCTCGTTTGAATCTATGTGTCCCTGTGATGGACTGGAGACCTGTCCCGGGTGTACCCGCCTCTCGCACAGTGACTGCAGGATATGGGCACCAGTGACTCCCTGTGACCCGAAAAGGAAGAAGCGGGTAAAGATGATGTATGGATAAAAATATATCTACTGTACAACAAGAACTGGAATCGACAAAAAAACAAAACTGTTAGAAACGTGTAGCTGTCGTCTTCACTGTTTCGTATCGACAGAACTGATTAATGATCCTCCTGGCTGGTTTTCCAAGTCAGGCTGGTCGGGAGCTTTCCACACACCCATCGAACAGTTCGAGGACATCAAGAACAAGGAGTTAAATAAATAATTTGTAGGAACATTGTTGACTCGGAATACTAAACAAAATAAGTTGGCAGTTTTTGAATAACATTTTTTTATTCACATCCAGTGTATTAAATGTTCAAGTGCTGTGTATTGTGAACAAAATCTATAAACAATACATCTGTAACTTTGCTTCCCCTCATTACACAGGTCTGAGGCTGCTCGGTATTGGGAGGAACCAGTACATTGACCTCATGAACCAGTGCAGGTCCTCCAAAGTAAGAGATGTTTAATAGTTTATTTTCTTTCATTTTAGTTAGAATTGTTTTTACACTGCAAAATTGGGTTGAGGTTACAGCAAATCATCTTTTTTAATAAAAGAAAACGAGTAATAGGGATGACATTTGGGTGAAAATATAATTTGAGAGTCAGTTTAAATAAATGTTAGATAATTAATAGCTACTTTTGTTCGTTGGCTCAAATGTCATTTGTTTAGTTAAGTGGACGTCTTCAGTATAGGTTTTTAAAATTTGGTGTTAATGATTGTTTGGATACAATAATTTCTTAAATAAGCACTTGATGATTATGTTTCAGGTTGTGAATGCACAGATTTTTATCTCTTATTGTTTTTTCATTTTAAAGATGGTTTTCATGGTGATCTAGTTCCTTCAGTTCCTAAATGAAAACCGTTTTAGAGAATTATTGGTTGATAACAAATTTGTGTCTCCATGATGCGCTTTTTTTATGCCGAGTCTTGAGCTTAACTAGTTGTCACTAAAAGTATAAAAGGTAGATTTAATGAGTGTTTTTTTTTATTTTGATACACTAATGCTGTCACATATCATTCATATAATAACTTGATATTTTAAGATAAAAGCTCAATATTGAAAGAAAAAACAACATTTTGGCTCAGTCACTGGATGGAAATCTGGAATCTGTTTAAAACGGGCTTGAAACAAAAATATAAAATGTTAAAGCTTTTGAAAAGATATGTGAGGATGTGTAGTTAAGATTGTAATTTACGCGACGACTGACACGTTCTTTTATTTGTTTCCTTACTCAGAAATTCTTTCGCAGGAAATCAGCGCGGGACCTGCTACCAGCCAAACCAGTGGATATTTCTGTGGAGCCATGGTGGGTGGCACAAACGGGCTACATCACCGAGGACGACATAAGGGTATGACAGACAGTTTCTATTCTCCAGGTTTCTGTTTAATGTGCCTATGCATCTCTAACCGTTTTACAGTTAAATATAAATGATCACAAATTTATCTTAAGGTTTTTACCTCCTTCAAGCAGGTATTTAAACAACAAATACATTATTAGACAGTTGAAATAAAAGAGTTTAATGAACATGGCCTGGAAATGTGCACTAATTTTTGACCAGTGAACTGAATGTGAGGAGTGGAGTTTGATCCAGAGCTTTCAGTAACATTTATACACAAATATTCATCCTTTGCACCACTGTTCCATCCAACTGTTCCATCCATCCATCCATCCATCCATCCATCCATCCATCCATCATCGTTACCCACTTCTTCCTTTTTGGGTCACGGGGGTCTCTGGTGTCCATATCCAGCCGTCACTGTGCGAGAGGTGGGGGACACCCTGGACAGGTCTCTAGTCCATTACAGGGACACACAGAGACAAATGAGACAATCAACCATTCATTCTCTCACTCACACCTAGGGACAGTTTAGAGATACCATTCAGACTAACATGCATGTTTTTGGTCTGTGGGAGGAAACCGGAGTACCCGGAGAAAACCCACGCGTGCACGGAGAGAACATGCAAACTCCACCCAGAAAAGCCCACTGCTGGGATTTGAACTGGCAACATACTCGCTGCGAGGCAGCAGCTCTTCCACCGTGCACCACTGTTTATATCAGAAATTAATTAATTTTTCACACATTAAAAACATAATACAAAACACACAAAAAAAAGCAGGGCATTCATACAGTTATATTATGCTGTCATTTCCAGTTGCACCAAAAAACGTGCACAACAGCTGTTGTTTACTTCAGATGATTTTACATTTATGTTGTTGATATTTTTGGGTGTAACTGGGACCTTGAGTACACAGTTTCATTCCACCTCATGTACCACATGTGGTGCGAATGACAATAAAGAACCTTGAAGCTTTAGACATTTTTTGAATACGCTCTATCCTCATTTGCTTGCTCTAATATTGTGTTTTGCTTGATTGGATGCAGGTTTGTTCTCCATCAGAGAAGAAATCCATTGATAAGATGATTGATTCAGGTCCTCAGCTGGCGGGAATAATGGAGTACAATGTGGTTTTAAGTGAGTATTTAATGTTAGATTTGCACAGGATCTCAACTTGTGAGGAGCCTTTGTCTCCCTCTACTGGCAAAGACCGTAGTTACACAAATACTATCTACTTTGTAAGTGTTGTGGTTGTCAATACTTTTATTATCATTATACTGTGCAGTTTTTGCTGTTTAACTTCATTATATTGTCTAAATGTAGAGTTTTTATTTAAACAAGACAGTACAAAGCTTCCTAGGTTTTTCTGTGTAGGCTTCACTTTCTACTTTGATCTGACAAAATTCAAAAAGTACTGTTCAAACAGAGGATTTAAAGCCCAACTATACTGTCAAACCAGATTAAGTTTGGCTCTGTCACCTCTGAGTAAACTTGTTCCAGAAGGGTTTGAATAAACCCATAGGTTTATGTATAAGTCAGGCACCCGAAACTCACAATAAAACAGTAAATATCTTTGGCATCTCGCTGAATTTCTGCAACAACGACCAAATTTGAGTCAAACCTGCTGAATTCAGGTCGTCCATCAGTGTCTGGATTGCTTTGAGGTTTTGTCCTAGCAGTTTAAATTTTAATTAGAGAACAGTTTGAGAGCATATTGAATAGCTGCTGACTGATTAGGAACACAAGAACTGAATACATAAAGAAGAATGTTTTATTTATTTATTTTTTATTGAATCTCATTTGGCTGAGAGTTTTCCAGACAAATCTTTTCAGAGGATGTTGAAGCACTCGTTCATGTTTTAAGATGAGTTTTTAGACCTCAGCAGCAGTGACCGTTTTTATTGTCTGAATGTTCATGAAGCATTCACACTATTGTGAGCCATTTTTCTTCTGTGTATTTTTCGGCGTCTTTCTTGTTCCACATTTTTTTTGCCTTTTCAACAAATCATACCAAAACATTCAGCGCATTTTCTCATAGAAAATGAACGCAGCTCATCCTTCAAATCTTTAGATCTGTTTACAACCTTTTACTGCTCCTTTCACATTTTGTTCTGCTTCAGTTTCTTTTAGCTTCCTTGTACAAATTGAAACTTTTTCCGCTAATTTCAGCTGTTTTTTCAGCTGTTTTGTGCTCCTTTTAGATTCTTTCTTCTAACTACAACATTTTTGTGCTTCTTCTAACTTCTTTCTGCTAATTTCAGCTTGTTATGCTCCTTTCAGCTAATTTATGCAAGTTTCAGCTTTTTCTGCTATTTCACTTACCATTTAACTCTTGTATGTTAATTTTAGCTTTTTCAGCTAATTACACATTTTTTGCAATAATTAAAACTTTTTTTTTAGTCTAATTCAGCCAAAATTGGCTCTATCCACTTCCTTTTGGTAAATTAAGTTTCTTTTTGCTGTTTTAGCTCATTTTCAGCAGTTTTTTTGTTTTTGCTAATTTTAGCTTTTTTCAGATAATTTCCACTTTTTTTGTGCTCATTTTTGCTTCATTCAGCATTATTGAGCAAACATGTTTTTTCTGCTTTCTTTTTTAAGCCTTTTCTACTTTTTCAGCTAGCTTTTTTAAAAATATATATTTGTAAGCTAATTTCAGCTGTTTTCAGATGAATTCAAGTTTTCATGTTAATTTCTGCTACTTTTGTCCTAATTGACTTCTTTCTGCTTATTTCAGCTTATGCTCTTTGCAGCTTTTTCTGCTCTTTCAGATACTATTTAGCTCTTTTGATGCTAATTTTAGCTCTTTCAACTAATTCCACTTTTTTTTTTAGCTCATTTCAGTTATTTCTGCTTCCTTCTGGTAGTTTAAGCGTCTTTATGCCTTTTCAGCTATTTTTTTTTTGCTTATTTCAGCTTTTTTTAAGCTAATTTCTTAAATTTTTTGTGCTAATTTCTGCTTGTTTATTATTATTAATTCAGCAAATATATGTTATTTCTGCTTTCTTTTGATAATTTAGGCTTGTGCTTCCATTTTAGCTACATTTCAGATTTTTTTAACCTAATTTCAGCTGTTTTTCAGCAAGTTCTTCTGCAATAAGCATTCACACTGTATTTTTGCAGGAAATGCAATTTCTCTAGTTATATTTACTGTGCTAGCAGTGTTGTTGTTCTTTTATTACAGGCTTATACAACCGGGGCTTCATCTACCTGGACGTTCCCATATCTGATGACAGCTGTATCTCAGGTAGACACAACACAGTGTGTGTATGTTGACACATTCTGCTTTGAGCCTTTAGGATGATTAAACATCATATGTACATAGATTAAGTGTGGAAACATAAACAAACATCACGGATAATAGAGTCGCACTGATTTGGAAAGATGCCTAGGAGTACAATTATGGATATATGATGGATGTGCAGCACGCTGTGGAAACAACTCAATGCAAAAACAAATATTTGCTCAGCTGTTTGTTTCTTTCAGTGCCCCCTCTCGAAGGCTTCGTCATGAACCGTGTCCAGGGCGATTACTTTGAAACGCTTCTCTACAAAATCTTTGTGTCCATTGATGAGCAGACAAATGTGGCGGAGGTGGGTGTAAGGAACGTCTCCGCTTCTGTGCTCCTTTTAATGTAACAGTGTCGGAGTGCATCTGTGTTTGTTGATCAGCTTGTCAACCATGTCTTGTTTGTTTTTTCCTCTTTCTCTCTCCTGATCCCTCCTCCGTCTGTCCCTCTCAGTTGGCAAATGTGTTGGAGATTGACTTGGACTTAGTGAAGGTGAGTTTACTGGGCAGTGCAAAGAGTCCTCAAGTACACACTTTGATTTTTAATAAACAGCATCAAACCTAGGACTTTGGAAAAATAATTAACCACAGTATGTCCTACATGAGCTGGGAAATATTGCAGCACAATGGCTCTTTCTCTAGTTATATTTTAATGATGGAAGCAGAATCTACTCAAACAGACCTCAGCAGTCAGTCTGTTACATCAACATTGTTCTGGATTAGGCCGCTATGCCCTCTGACTCGCTTGAATAGGCTCTTAAGTTTGACCCAGTTTTCCACTCATTCTCTGTCAAAGAGCCAAACTCCTTCAATGTGTCTGACCCTCAGTTTGAAGGGTTGAACTTCTTTGTCCTTCAGCTCCCGTCTCATTCGTGTCGCCACAAAGGAACATTGTGGAGGAACGACTGAAGCTGCATTAGTGGCACTTCTACAGGAGAAAACCTGTCATTTTAGACATGATCGAGAGGAGAGAAACCTTTGTGCAGAACTTTTTCAACTTTCACTTTTGCTGTGGTTTGTCTTGTTAAATGACTAATTTGTAACCGGGTTCATTAAAACAAATAAAGATAAATACATCTGAATTACTGCACAGCCTTTATAGCCCTGACCGTATAATTTGGGACATAATCAACATAAAAATGCCAGACTACTCTTAGTTGAGAAGTGCGGTTTATTTCAGAAGCAGAAAGTTTTGTATTCATGAGTTTTGTTGTAACTTTAAGATCTGCACAAGAAAACAACATGATCAGTGTTTTGTCCACGTCATAGCTAACCTATGCTGAGCAGCTTAAATTCATCCATGCAATCCCAATAAATAACACTAACATAATCACCTTTTGAGATAAAACTGTTTATTTTAACTCTATCTTTGTTGCAGTTGTTGATAATTAATAAACCCGTTTTCAGACGAGAAGAAATGAATCAGAAAAGGAAGACTAAAGTTAGACTTTTTGCATAAATCATCATATTTTTGCAAATATTAAATGCACCCACTCTTCTAATGTTGGACAGGGCCTGGATAAAAGATGTTTGGATGCACTGAAGCATCTGGTTTCATAACATTAGAAGATCCCTTGGGTCTTGTTCATTGTGGGGTGGGGTCTCAGTGGACTGGGCTTGCTTTTCACAGATGACATAAGATTTATTATTTGGAGTGTTTGGAGGCCCAGTGAACACCTGAGAGTGACTTTCTTTTAGCTCTGCCTTTTGTGCAGGGCCCATTGTTTTGATCTTAAAAGAAACTTGCTACTGTGAGGGAGTGCTGTTGCCATGTAGGCTTTGAAATTACTCTTCAAAAACATTTAGTTAGGTGTCGTGTGGCAAAGTAGTATGTGTTTCAGAGAAACTGATTTGTAACAAAACGAGCTGTGAACCTCTCTTCACCTCTCAGCGGTCATATTGTTGTTTTTTATTGTTGTTCTGTTATAGTGTGAATGTTTATGAAGCATTCACACTATCGAGATCCATTTTTGTTCTGTACATTTTTCAGCATCTTTCTTGTTCCACAACTATTGTGCCATTTCAACAAATCATATCAAAACGTTCAGCTTGTTCAGGAGAATGGTGCTATGACTTTTGGTATTGGTGCAACTTTAGCTTTATGATATATTTAGCCTTTTCTGCCATTTTTTTCATAATAAATTAATTGAGCTCATTTTACATCCTTCAAATTTTTAGATCTGTTTACAACCTTTCACTGCTCCTTTCACATTTTGTTCTGCTCCAGCTTATTTCTGCAAATTTAAACTTTTTTCAGCTACTTTCAGCTAAGTTCAGCTGATTTGTGATCCTTTTAGATTCTTTTTGCTAACCAGAACATTTTTTGTGCTGCTTCTAATTTTTTGCTAATTTCAGCAGGTTTAAGCTTTGTCTGCTATTTCTGCTACGAGTTAGCTGTTTTGTACTCATTTTAGCTTTTTCTGCTAATTCCACTTTTTTTGCACTCATTTGGATGTTTTTCAGTCTAATTCAGCAAAAATTTGCTCTCTCCACTTCCTTCCGGTAATTTAAGGTTCCTTCTGCTTTTTAAGCTACTTTTCAGCTATTTTATTTATTTATTTTTGCTAATTTCAGCTTTTTTCAAATAATTTCCACTTTTTTCTGCTCATTTCTGCTTCTTTAAGCTTAATTAGGCAAACGTGTTCTTTCTGATTTCTTCTGGTGATTTAAACTTTTTATACATTTTCAGCTATATTTTTAGCATTTTTAAAAAAAAAACTAATTTCCACTGTTTCAGATAAATTAAAGTGTTTTGTGGTAATTTCTGCTAATTTCAGCCCAATTAACTTCTTGATGCTAATTTCTGCTTGTTATGCTCCTTTCAGCTTATTTATGCTAGTTTAAGTTATTTAAGATACTATTGAGCTGTTTTTATGCTAATTTAAGCTTTATCAGCTAATTCCACATATTTTCAGCTCATTTCAGATCTTTCTACTTCCTTCTGGTAGTTTAAGCTTCTTTCTGACTTTTCAGCAACTTTTCAGCTATTTTTCGCTAATTTCAGCTTTTTTTTTTTTTAGCTAACTTTCTAATTTTGTTTGTGCTCATTTTCTGCTTATTTAAACTTATTTCAGCAAATCTATGTTCGTTCTGCTTTCCTTTGCTAATTTAAGCTTGTTCTTCCATTTCAGCTAGATTTCAGAATGTTTTTTTTTTTTAGCTAATTTCAGCTGTTTTTCACCAAATTTTTCTGCAATAAGCATTCACACTGCATTTTCATAGGAAATGCAATTTCTCTCATTCTGATTATTGTGCTGGTGGTCATTCAAGAGTAATTCTTTGTTTCATTATTAATAATACAACTGTATAAAAACATCTTCCAAGGTGCATATTTTTCCTTCTTGAGCCTCGCCTTCTTATTCAGATATGTTCATTTCTGTGTAGGAACAAAGATGTAAACAGAAGTTTGTCACACAAGATTTTAGAACAATAGTTTGCAAATATATTTGCAATTATATATCAACAACTTAACCTTTTTTAACAGTGCATTTTATAGCTGCAACACATTTATTTTCTTTTTCACCACTTTATTTCAGTGCTCTCTTTCTGTGTCCACATCAAGTGTAACTCAGTGGAAAAGCCATTCAGGGGTGTGTATGATCGGATATGTTCTGTTGAGACGTTTGACTGTGATTCTCTCGTGTTTAATCAGAACGCAGTCTCCATGTACTGTCGCCTCGGCTTCGCTGTGAAGAAAGGTCAAGTGTTCAGCTCCGAGCAGCTTCACCCCAGCTGGAAGAACACCCCATCTGTAAACAGACTCAAGTATGAAGCCGTGTTCACCCAATCAGATGCTTTTTATGCTTTTCATCTATCGTCATCTGAACTGATAAATTTTGATATCAACCGTTTAAATCCTCCTTATAAAACTCTTAGAAATCCAAAACCTGTTCAGTTAGTTTATTTCACTTTAGACTGTAATAATGTGCTACACTGGGTTGAATTGATTGGATCTCTGTTGTAGGAGCACCATGGATCCCCAGAAAATGTTGCTGTCCTGGGAGCAGGGCAGTCCCGTCATGGAGGCAGGCTCCTCAGCCACAGACACCGACACCACCAGCCTGGAAGACCAAGGTCTGTCCACACCCGCAGTCCCAGGGCTGTGCTGCTACATATGCAAATAATTACAAACGCTCACATCTGCACTCAGGGCACGTTATGGTTGCTGCTTCAGAGGTTCGAGCCAGCACCTCTAATTGATCCCCAAGAATGCTCAGCGGGGCTTCTGAAAGTCATTTTGACATCAATAGGCGTTTGTCTAAAGTGGTCCAATTTTAGCCTAATTTTAATTTAGTTGTGCATATTAAGCTGACAGAGTCGCAAGCAAATGGATATTATCAAAAGGGTTGTTGATCAAACCCATTTACATGCAAATCTGTTTAATTAAATCTGTTTGAGATGGAAAAAATGTTGTAAACATTGTTTTTTTCACAAAAATCGTATGTTAATATCTGCTGTTTAAAAAATAATTGATGATTAATTGTGTTGTTAGAGCTGTTTCAACATGCATTAATGGTAACGTATTATTTTGGACGTGTTTGCAGCCGACACGGCGAGCGTTAGCAGCCTGAGTATTCCAGCTGCACCCACCAAAAGGATCGCCTTCCTGTTTGACTCCACTCTCACAGCTTTCCTCATGATGGGCAACTTGTCTCCGGTATGTGGGCATGAAATGCACAAATCGATTCCCAGGATACCTAAAAACAGCAGAATTAAAAAAAAAAACCTTCACATAAATCTGTTTTTTGTTTGTTTTGGTCTCGTCAGAATCTGAAGAGTCATGCAGTGACCATGTTTGAGGTGGGGAAGCTGTCTGATGAGACTCTCGACAGCTTCCTGGCTGAACTTGAAAAGGTGAACTTTTAACTTTAAGACAAATCTGCTTTAGATCCTTGCTTAGTATCAGCATTTGCTTTAAAGTACCAAAGTGAGATAATAAATGACGAGTGTGCATTTTCCTCAGGTGGAGAGCACAGCAGAGGGTGAGGCTCAACGGTACTTCGATCATGCTCTGACCCTTAAAAACACCATCCTCTTCCTGCGCTACAACAAAGAACTCACTCAGGATCAAGGACCCGATATTCCAAATATAGGTTTGTGTTTTTGCAGCCATGTATTCATGTTGCCAATTTATGTTTGCCTGTAATTCATGCGTGTTAACTTAGCAAATGAGCAGCTGGAAGAGGCCGTCTTTGGTTGTTGGTGTTGCTGTGCAGTAGAGTTGCATTCGGGCCCCAAAAAATCCGACCTGACCCCAGCCCATAGCTGCCATTTCCGAACCCCACCCAACTCGACAAATTAACAGTAATTACAGGTCCGAAACCCGAACTACCCCCTGACATTTTTAATTAAGCTTTGACTGCTTATAGTTATTAACGGTCGGCGGACATGCGTGGCTGAGTAAAAGAGGCAGAAGATCAGAGCTGAGGGGGTGTTTGTCCTTTCATGGACATCAAAGTGCATTAAATCCCTTCTTCTGCCTGCATTCTGCATTATTCAGACACAGACCCTACTCTGACATACCAGATATTTTGGGATCTCACCTGTTTGGGTTGTCGGCCACGCACGTCCGCTGAGTGCAGCAGCTGAACGTCCATTTGGGGTGATGGATCGCTGGCAGTAGTCCATCTGAATCTTAACTGAGCTTTTTACTTCTTTCAAGGCCGGTCAGCGTGCGGTCATATGGCTGCGTGCGGCTGTTGATTGTATGGCAAGCCATGTTGCCATATAAATTGATTGTCAGCTGTGCGCGTCCGCTGACTCAATCCAAAGCCCGCCACCGACCAGGCCTGCACATTAAGCACATTATTATGGCCTGGCCCGGCCCTAATCCGGGTCGAGTGGGGCCGGGCTCCAGGTTCGGGTTAGAAATGTCAGCTCTACTGTGCAGCTGGCATGTCAGTCTGGGTTATAAATTCACAGCAAAAAAATATAACGTTAAGTATAATATGTTATAACAGTATTTTTATTTTTTCCTGCCAAGAAGTGACATCCTTTATCGTTATTCCCCAAAATATAACTTGTTTTGGATATTTGAAAAATCCAACCTCAGCTAACACGTCAAATGAGTGATTTTAAAGTCAGTGCCCATCTGGAAGGTTGTAAAACTTTTATCTGGACTGAAGCTCTTTAATGCTGCAGATTTAATAGAAAATTGGACAAAAATAAACGCTGACAATCAGATTCTGAGCTTTAACTCGAGGATATTTGCATTCATGTTGTTGAAAGGATAAACGAATTACATCTTTTCAGTATTTACAAACCTTTTTTGCAGAGGATTATATCTAACATTACCAGACAGGTGAATTTTGAGCATCCTGCTTTGTGCCGTTTTGCTTCCAGTCATTTTAAAGTGCTCGTCTTCAGTTCATGCTTCATTTATGAATCTGTCTGTTTTTTCTTATAAACTTCACTCTGAATATACAGAATATTCCACTTCTTTGATGACATGGATTACTTTTGTGATCATTTTCATTTCGCCTTGCCTGTTATCTGTACAGTTGATGATGTAAATTTGTTCAACTTTAGAAATTGTGCGTCCCAGTAATGAGGAATCATAATAATAAATTGTCAGGCAAATTCGTTTTGTTTCATTTGTTAGCTTAAAAAAAATTCTAAGCTGTCTTTACCACAACTGTTGTAAACAACTATTGTTAATGATTCTCATTCAAGTACTTAAACTTATTCAGTGGTGTTGGAAAATCAATAGGTAATTAAAAGCTGGGAGCTCATCTGGAAGCAGCAAAGAGGACGTAGATTGTGTTTTTGTGCAGCTATTGGCAGACTGAATCTGCTGGACAGAGCTGTTTTTAATGATTCCCTCTGGCGCCTGAATAGTTTTTAAAGTACCTTCATACAAATGCTCAAGTAAACCTGCATTGTTTGTTTCGTGTCTCCTGGTGTTGCAACACAGAAATGATCCTCCGACACCAAACAAGTGACTCTCTAAGTTTCCGTTTAGCTTCTGTTGTGTCACCAGATGCTGTTTGTTTGCTCTGGCTTCATGCCTCGCTTCTGATTGTCTTATCTCTCAGCTGTACGGAGGCTGCTGCTCTGCAACACATGAGCCTGCTGGCTGCAGCTAAATGAGCTGCTAATGTTACAATAGTCTTATGTTGTTGGTTCGTTTAGGACGTGAATGAAAACTTTTGTCCAGGAAGACAAATTCTAGCCATCCAGAATAACGTTCAACATTTTTATATTCAAGAAGTTTGTTTTTTATCCAGATGTGGAATTCAAAATTTTTTTTTTAGAATGTTTGAGCAATGTTTGTGTTGCTTTAAAATAGCATAAAAGTGTGGCCGGCCCTTGGAGTGATTTTGTGTGGCCCACAACTGTAGTTTAACGATGATATATTGTGGCCTGTGAGCTGAAGAGAAGGATGTAGACCTTTAGCAGATGTAATGATCATTTTTTTTAAATATAATTTTTAGGTTTAACAGCAAAACGGATTAAAAAAAATCTCAAAATGAGCAATCTTTTGGCAATAAATCAATAAAGTCAAATAAATTAAATAAAAAATAAAGTAATAAAACGTTATTGTTTATGAAGCTTTTAATGTTTTGGATCTACAATAATCTAGAACACATTCTCCACCAAAATTTGTAAATTTTGTCCCTTCTCCAAAACTCCAAAACTGTAAAATATGTACGCTTTTTATTATTTATTTGTTTAATTCACATTTTTGTGGCTCGCCACTCCTTTCATCATCAAGGTTTTGGCCCACATATGAAAATGTTTGGACACCCCTGCCTTAAACCCTCTCTGGAAGTCAAATGCAGGTTTTTGATTTGTCTTCATACCAAATCTGTAATCAGTTTCTAAATGTTTTCCTGTAGACTTAGTCTCCAACTATTCATCTTGTTTCTGGTAACTAGTATTTCTAAACTGAATCATGATTTGAGGAATGGGCTCACTGCAAATCCTTTTCTATCTGCTTATAGCTTTCTGCTGCGTGAAGAGATTTGAGTTTTCAGAATGCTCCGCAGCAGCTGAGAGGAGTCTATTGTTTGAGGCAATGAAGTAATGGAAAGCTTTTAAAAAAATGGCATCATTTTGCCTCTCACAATCCTTGGCCATAATGTGTAAAATAAGGTGTTAGACCTTGGTAAAAGGTGCCCTGTGGTGCTCCTTTTAATACTCTCTAAGACTACACAGATCACAAACAACTGAGTTTTTATTAAAAAAGAAGTTGCAGGTGACTAATGCTAATAAATAACATTTAACACTTATCATTTAATATAAGTTAAAGTGCTATGCATATCATATGGCTGTTACTGAATGTATGTCACCAGCTCTTACAGCTGTTACACAATTTTTGTAGCAAATAAGCCTAAATAAGAGGACTATGTTCTGACAAAGGAAAGTATATAAAAAATATAGGAATCGGTTATCGGCCAAACAAGTTTTAACATATCGGATATTGGCCAAAAATCCAATATCGTGCATCCCTAATATATATATATATATATATATATATATATATATATATATATACACAAACCGGATTCCAAAAAAGTTGGGACACTACACAAATTGTGAATAAAAACTGAATGCAATGATGTGGAGGTGCCAACATCTAATATTTTTTTCAGAATAGAACACAAATCACAGATCAAAAGTTTAAACTGAGAGAATGTATCATTTTAAGGGAAAAATCTGTTGTTTCCAAATTTCATGGCGTCAACAAATCCCAAAAATTTGGGACAAGTCCATTTTTACCACTGTGTGGCATCTCCCCTTCTTCTTACAACACTCAACAGACGTCTGGGGACAGAGGAGACCAGTTTCTCAAGTTTAGAAATAGGAATGCTCTCCCATTCATGTCTAATACAGGCCTCTAACTGTTCAATCGTCTTGGGCCTTATTTGTCGCTCCTTCCTCTTTATGATGCGCCAAATGTTCTCTATAGGTGAAAGATCTGGACTGCAGGCTGGCCATTTCAGTACCTGGATCCTTCTCCTACGTAGCCATGATGTTGTGATTGCTGCAGAATGTGGTCTGGCATTATCATGTTGAAAAATGCAGGGTCTTCCCTGAAGGAGATGACGTCTAGATGGGAGCATATGTTGTTCTAGAACCTGAACATAGTTCTCTGCATTAATGGTGCCTTTCCAGACATGCAAGCTGCCCATGCCACAAGCGCTCATGCAACCCCATACCATCAGTGATGCAGGCTTCTGAACGGAGCGTTGATAACAACTTGGGCTATCCTCGTCCTCTCTGGTCCGGATGACATGGTGTCCCAGTGTTCCATAAAGAACTTCAAATCGTGACTCATCTGACCACAGAACAGTCTTCCATTTAGCCACACTCCATTTTAAATGACCCCTGGCCCAGTGCAAACATCTGAGCTTGAGGAGCTTGCTTAGAAATGGCTTCCTCTTTGCACTGTAGAGTTTCAGCTGGCAACGGCGGATGGCACGGTGGATTGTGTTCACTGACAATGCTTTCTGGAAGTATTCCTGAGCCCATTCTGTTATTTCCTTGACAGTGGCATTCCTGTTTGAGGTGCAGTGACGTTTAAGGGCCCGGAGATCACGAGCATCCAGTAGTTTTACGGCCTTGACCCTTACGCACAGCGATTGTTCCAGATTCTCTGAATCTTCTGATGATGTTATGCACGGTTGATGATGATAACTTAAAAGTCTTTGCTATTTTACGCTGGGTAACACCATTCTGGTATTGCTGCACTACCTTTCTGCGCAACAATGGTGGAATTGGTGATCCTCTTACCATCTTGGCTTCTGAGAGACACTGACACTCTGAGAAGCTCTTTTTATACCCAATCATGTTGTCACTTGACCTAATTAGTGTTAATTGGTCTTCCAGCTGTTCGTTATATGCTCAATTTCCTTTTTCCAGCCACTTATTGCTACTTGTCCCAACTTTTTGGGGATTTGTTGACACTGTGAAATTTTGAATCAACATATTTTTCCTTTAAAATGTTACATTTACTCAGATTAAACTTTTGATCTGTCATCTATGTTATATTACGAATAAAATATTGACATTTGCCATCTCCACATCATTGCATTCAGTTTTTATTCACAATTTGTTTAGTGTCCCAACTTTTTTGGAATCCAGTTTGTGTGTGTGTGTGTGTGTGTGTGTGTATGTATGTA